TGCATGAGGGGTGTGCCGCGAGGTTGGGGTGTTCATGGTGAGCTTTGGGCAGCCCCGGTGCTGCTGCTCACTGCCACCTTCCTCAGGGTGACTGCCGAGTCCTGGATGCAAGGACAGGAGAGTCTGCTGGGTGACTGGTCTCTTGGGTGATGGCTGAGCCAGCCCAAGGGTACACTCCAAGGGTGTACTGTGTGGTGTCACTTCCCTCTGGCCATGGTCTGTGGGTCGTGCCCAGCTCCATGGACCTGCCCAGCCCTGGAGACATGGAGTGGGGGCAGCTGCAGGATCATGGTGTCCCAGCCCCTTTCCTTGCTCCCTGTGCTTCTACCCTATTTCCTGTCCAGCTCCCAGAACTACCATGGAGCAATAGGGTCCAGTTCCCCATCCAGGACGCCTTGGCAGGGTGAGCTCAGCCAGGTCCAGCTCCGGCACTGTGCAGAGGGGAACTGGCTGCCCCTGATGCACTGAATCAGCTGCTTACGAAACGCGGGGCCAAGTCCGCTCGGCTTCTCTGGAGAAGGCAAGAGGTTTGTGAAACCTTCGGCAGGGATTTGCCCGCCAGCTGCTGCGTCACTGCTGCCGTGGGGTTGGGTTTGTTCCAAGAAACCCACAGGACTGGCGGAGCTTCCCGGACTCTCAGTTCTGGGTTGCAGCACTGCTGCAGCTGGAGCAGGAGGGAAGAGGCCCCCGAACCACGGGGCCCTTCTGGGAAGTGGTGAAGCCAGGGCTGCTCTGGCAGGGCTGGGGTCTGTCTGGGGGGAGTTGGGCAGGGCAACTGCAGACAGACTTTCCCATCTGCCACACTGTGGGATCCCCAACTCTGCCAGGGTGCTGGGGGTGCTCAGGTGCCCCATCCCCTCTGTGCCATCACCTGCCCCAGAGCTGTGATGCTCCAGGTCCTTCCCAGCTGCTGTGGGTGCCACAAGGCTGATGCTCCCTCCAGGCGAGGGACTGCTCCACCCCTCAGCGCTGCTCCCACCCAATCCCTGGCGTGGGGCTGGGAGCCACCGGAGCCCTGACGTTGGGGATGTGCCTCGGCAGGGCCTGGCGGGAGGCCACCCGTGCGCGTGGACATTCCTCACATAGTGCCGACGGGTGCCCAGGCAGGCCGCGGCGCTTCCTGGCAGCTGGTGAGCCACAGCCTCAGAGAGCAGCACCAAAATAAGCCTCTGGGATCATACCGTGCCTGTGGCCTGAGTGGGCAGGTTCACCATCTATCTGCTCTGGGGCAATTCCCAAGGGAAGTCTTTTCCCAGGAGCTGGGATTCCCTTGGTGGAAGCACAGTGCACAATGCTCATTTTGGGGGACTGTGGGTGCTCTGTGGGGTTGCAGGGGGCTGGACCCTCCCAGGAGATTCCCCCCAGCCCCTGGATGCAGGTCGCCGGCTGGGCATCTCCTTCCAT